GCAGTAGGTATTCGCTAGTGGTCACCCACCTAACTACTAATCTACCGATTCAAAGCTTATGAAGTGGCAGAGCGGACGGGATGCCCAGTTCTCTTTGATCTATGGCCGTATGTGACAAGAACGGTGAGGTTTTTAGTAAATCAACCCATTTCGAAGTACCTGGACAGCACCAGTTTCACAAGGCTCCACATTCATCTCAACATGTTACTCAGTTTGACCGCATACCACGAGAGTCAGTCAATAGCTGACGAAGACATGCAACATCCAACGGTAATCTATCCTTATCAAGCGGCCAAACCCCAGGCACAAAGTAAGCTCAGTTTACTTGGCACGAGACAAACACGAAGGAGGGGTTTTTAAACGAATAAGGGGTCTTGGTGATCGGTGGTCGGCGGATGAAGCGGCAACCCCTTGTGTCGTTAAAAACCTCCTCCTTACAGGAATTCTCCGCCGCGATCCCTCAAGTGACTCGACAAGCCGGAGAAGCCTACAGTTATCGAGCAAAAGAGCTAAACTCCAAGAAGAGTCTGTTATCCAGACCCCTCGCCTGCTTATGCGCCTGCGCGCAGCTGCCGACTGTCACGACAGGCATGGCAGCTGGATCTTGATGCGCTTGTTTCTACTGGGGAAGGGGAATTAAGCCGGTCTCGAACAGGGATACATAGTATGCATCAATAACAAAGAATTGTATCCCCTTCGACCAATTCGACGGCATACTTGTGATTCACGCCTCACTACCCGCATCTAATGCCAAACCCCTCAAGACACAACGCCATTCGCAAACCCCCCAGCCCTCCGATAGCTTTATCCCCCATCCGCTCCTTCCCACTCCACAATCCAGTCTACGCAACATAACTATACATATTCCCCTCTTCCCTCTCCATATAATCCTTATCCACCAACCTGTCAATATTCCGTTTAATATCCGGCACTCCCAACACGCCCCGACTCCTCGTGGCCCCAATAACCTCAGCGACCAGCTCCGCATGGCTAATCAGCTTCCGGCTCTTCATGATGCGCACGATCGCCGCCTGCGTCTCGAAGTTGCGGTCCGCGGCCACGCGCTCGTGGGTCTCTTTGTTCTCTTCTTTCGTCTCTTTGAGCTGCACTTGGTTGATCTTGACGCGGTATTTCTCGTGCGTGAAGGCCGTGTTGAAGGTGAATGCGTCGGTCGGGGCGATGTCTTTGCCCTTGGGGTGTTTGGTTAGGGGACGCAGCTTTGCGCAGGCGAGGGATTGGAGGGTGCGGATGATTTCGCGGTCGGCTGTTTGTGCGTAGTTAGCGGCTGTGGTCTTTTGTGTTTGAATAAGGAAGAGGGGGAAAAGGGGGGACTCACGCAATCCTGTCTCCGCCTTGATGGTCTCGTAACTGAGATGCTCGCCCGCGGGCACGTTGTTGAAAAGTAGTAGGACGATGGCCTGGAACGACGAGACGACAATCTCCTTGTTGCCCTTGGGGAAGTTGGCCTTGAGCTGGCAGTGCGCGAGCGCGTGCTTCCAGTCCAGCTTCCTGCCGCGGTGCTTGCTCTTGTAGTGCTGGTCGAACCTGTCAATAGCGCTCTTGATCTCTTGCGGTATCTGCACAGGCACGTCCGGATAGGTGGGCCACGCGGCGGCTGACAGGATGTTGACGGAGAGGTCGAGCGTAGAGGTTTCGCCCCGATCGGCCATCAGCATCTTGTAGGACGAGACTTCTTCGCGCGCTAGCTCGATGTCTTTGAACATCTGCTCGAGGTTCTGAGTGAAGCCAGCGCCGCATTCGGTCTTCAGGCGCGCGAGCATGCTCCGCTCTGCATCGGCACTCGCGCTTCGGCCCATGAGTAGCCGGCGGGCTAGATCTTTCTTGTAGAAGGCTTCGAACACCGCCTTTCCATGCACGAAGCGGAAGAGATCGAGGACCTGATCCAGCTGCGCGTTGATCTCGCTGTCTTCGTCAAAAGCCACATCATCGTCGTCGTCGTCCGCCGCCACCGTCTTGATCGCAGACTTGGACAGTTGTGCGGGAATCGCCTTGGCGCCACCCCGAAGGAGCATGTCCACATACTTCGCGATCATTTCGCCAGGCTTCGAGTTGTCGGTGTTCCACGTCGCGGCGCCCTTCTTGGTCTTGTTGATGAAGGTCTCGAAGGTTTCGCGCAATGCGTGGCCAAGCTCCGTGTTTCGGTGGAAGGAGATGCGCCATATCGTGTCGAGCTGGCGCTTTAGCGCAAGGAGCTTGATGACCATTTGATCCTGCTCTTTGTCATCGAAGACGATGGCGGTGCCGGTGTCGTCGATCCATTTTACGAAGGGCTCGCGTAGCCGAAGGACGAGTTGGCGGCGCTCGAGGAGCGTGTAGAGCTGTTCTAGGTCGTTTACAGCATTATCCTCAAGGAAGTCGGCTATGTCGTCTTGGTTGACTGTTAACGGGTCAGTGGTTGACAAAATGGTGGCGTAAGTGAGTGGTTCAAGGCGTGCTTACCAAGTCGGTCAGCCTGCTGCTGTATGAGGTATGTTTCCAAGAGCGTCAGCAGGTCACGGCGGGTGGTGGAGTCGAGGCCATAGTGCTCGCACCGCGAGAGTTCGCGGTTCATCAGTTGCACAGAGCTGTGGACATAGTCGGCCAAGCTCTTCTCAGCACTCGCTTCCCTGGACCAGTTGATGATAAAGGTCTGCGATTCATGAAGCATATGCGGCTCGAAGACGCTAGTATAGATTGACAGGTCATGGAACAGCTTGATAGTATCCCTGAAGGTAGATTGATCTTGGAGGTCGTCCATTCGATCACAATGTATGAGATCACAAGCACCTTCAATTGTCCTAGAACCCAGCTTGGGGTCATTGAGGATGTTAGTCCGGAAGAGGTCCACCGCTATCTCTTGCAAAGATCGCCCCTTCTGCAGGAGGTACGAGCGGTCCAGATAGCAGAATATCCAGTGGATAGTTTTCTGAGACGATTGTCCCGTAAGCTTGTGTACCAGTCCATCAAACCCAAAATTGCTTACCAGCTGTCTGTTCCACGTAGCCCACGCGGCAAGGACCGCCCTCAGCAGATCCACATTCGTAGCACCAGTCCTCTCCAACAGCGGCTCTTTCAGTCCAGACCTGACATAACTAGAACATTTGTCCTTGAGAAGTATGGAGAGCTCAGCAGCGTGCCCCTGCCGGCAACAGTTCTCCACGCCCTTGTACAGCTCTTCCAACGAGAACGAGATCTCCTCATTATTGAAGATAGCCGTCAAAGCCTTGTCTAACCGCTCCCACGTCTGGTTCAGGTATTCCCGCGGGTCTGTTCGTGGCGTCGTGCGCAGATTCTTCACCACCAGCTTCTTAGCCCCAGCATGCGGATTAAAGTTCGGCTTCGCCCTGAAGCCGTTCGGCCGCCTCGCAGGCGGGCTCGTCGCTGAACCAGTCAGGTCTACAGGGTTGTTCCTGTTGTTGGCGGGGAAGCTGTACATGTTCTCGCGCGGCAGCGGTGCGGTCTCGGAGGGGGTTGTGGCAAATGGTGCGGCTGTAGCTGTGGGATCGAGGCGGATGCGTTTGCTGGTGGGCGATGAGGCGGGGCCCTTGGTGTCCCTGTCAACCTGCTTCTGCTGAGATGCTGAAAATAGCTCTGAAATGGTCTGTTGTTTGGCACCGCTCACGCTATCTGTGGAAGCTGGCTGCCGGGCAGCGGGAAGTTTCCTCTTCCTGTCAGCGGATGCAGCTCTGTCTTCGGATCCGGTGGCAGTCACTAGACCTCCAGAACGCGGCATTCGAGAGAGCGAAGGTGTCCTTGAGACGGACAACAGAGGGTGTTGGCGGTATCGCTGCGGGATAAGGCTTGCTGTTGCAGTGGTTGACAGCGGATGACGCGAAGATGTACCGCGGCGCATTCAGCGGAGATGTCGGACTTAAGGTTTGAAAGCGGCACTGGCAGGAGCATTTCATAAATCTCACACATACCAAGAAGAGCTGCTTTGCCAGACCCGTACGTAGTAACAGTGATGGTATCCTAACACAACGAAGAGCGGCGGCGTGTTTATAATCTAACCTCGCAATAACGAATACTCCCCAGACTGGTATCTTGTAACGCTCGAACGCCAGCCGAAATCTACTATGCACGCTATGGCTAAAACAGACTCCACCCTTTGCTTCGACCCTTCTCCGTAGATCTTGTCTGCGTCGACCGTGAGGCGTATCGCTTTTCTCGTGCCTCGAGTTGCCGTAATCCCTCCATTTCCTTCAATACGTGTTCCAACAGCTCCTTACGCCTGACCACGTCGAGATGCCGCCGTATCTTGGGATCTTCGCGCGCGAAACGCTCGACTTCTGTAGGAGACAGGTTTCTTCCCAATCGTGCGTCTAGCTCACGCGGGAACTAAGTTCTTGAGGTTAGAAGAGCTAGAGCGCGAGCCATGGTTTAGACTTACAATATAGTAGAATTTGGACAAGAGCTCAGCATCGAGGAAGAGGTCAGCAGTCGTGGTGAGCTTGTCGGCCACGGCATCCAGGAAGACTTCCGGGCAGAAGTACTTGTTCTTCTTGTTTGCACACTGCTTGGACTTGATCGCCATGAGTCGTAGTTTCAGTATGTCGGCACGATCCCGTAGAAAGACGCCTTCTAAGCCTGTAAATGTTCCGTCAGCCTGCATTCAGAGTATCCGCTCGTTGTATCCGTACCTCTTTCCAGTAGAGCGGAGCTGAAACCGCCCGCACCACCTCTACCATCACCCTCAAGCACGACCTGCCCGTTTCGAACGCGGTCGATGAAGCCCATGACATCCTTGAGCTTTTTCTTCCCGCCAACTTCGCTCTCAACGTGCTTGGCAGCGGCTTCACATGAGCGTAGCTCCTCTTTCAATGTCTTTTGAATGTTCTCTCGCCCTCTGGACCATTCGGTGTCCTCCAGATCGATCCTGTACTTGTAAGGTTTGATGCAAATTTCCAACTCGTCGCTGATGTCGTACGACAGCTCTTTGAGGATGGAGGTGGAGGCCTCTGTTATGGCTTGTCGTGCGAACGGATGGTGTCCGAAAGTCGATGTGTTTATGAGGTGGTCGATGTGCCCTTGCAGAGCATTCGCGACTACTGTTGTTGCAAGGCGGCCGATGCCCAGCTTTGTAAGGGAGGCAGTCGAAGCATCGAGTTTGAGGCGCCATAGCTGATTGTCCGGATCGGCTTTGGGTAGCCCGCTCAGAGGATCGGTCTCGGGTAGTGGCGGGGAGAGGTCTTCTAAAGGCTTGTTCCAATACCGTGACGCCAGAAGATTCAAGATTTGCTGATCCAGTTCGTACTTGAGCAACTCACGTACTTCTGGCCGGCCAAAGTGCTCCGTGAACTCTCTGAATGAGTGCTTGAAAGAGTCCAGGCTTTCCGCCAAGTAGGTCTCAGCACTCAGAGGACGGTCGTTGTATTGTACTTTGAACTCGTATGTCGCTTCCGCCAGCTCGCCTTGTACAGCTTCGCTTGTCGTCTTGAGACTTGCTGCCAGAGTCTGCTCCAGGACGTACATAAGCTTCTTCCTGAGATTCTTCGTGCCCACCTCGATTGAGGATTCCGTGCCGAACTCCGCCGGATGAGACGAGAAGTAGGCGTCTTCGTTCTTCGCGATAGCATTCGTGATGTTGCCGCTTCCACGCTTGAAAAGTTTGCCCTGTGTCTGCGGCACACGACACACGACTCCGATATAACCCAGTCGCAGAGCGTACTTCTTGTCCGTCAACATGCTAGCACCCCGCTCTGCGTCCACAAGATCCATCTTGGTAATAACTCCGATTGTCCTTTCTCCTCTTGGATCAACTTGTCTAGAGGCGCGCAGTGCAGTAGAGTTGGCCAAGTCAACATCGGCCGCTGATATCGCCAAGATAATGTTGGGTTGTTGGATGTACTTCTCGCAGAGCTCCGCGATCTTCTCCTTAAGCTCGGTTGGCTGATCTCTTCCAGTCACTTGTATGTAACCGGGGAGGTCAATCAGAGAAAGATCAGGTACATTCGGCGAGTAGATGCGCAACTGGATAGGATCATCGGACACACACTCGCTTGCTGGTACGGCCAGGTTGAGATCCGTCAAAGTCCTCTGTATCTGTGTGAAATCCGTGATCTTCCCCAGGCCCAAGGCGGGAAACTCGCCATACTCGGCCTGCGCATCCGGAGTATTGACCAGAGTCAGCTCGATCGGCCGCCTTGTGACCATGTTGGAGCCCTTTGGTAGGAACTCGTGTCCTACGATAGCCTCCAAAACCGAGCTTTTGCCCGAAGACTGCGACCCAATAACCACGATAGAAGGCAACGTCAATGCATCCGACTGGCCCACTGTCTGCAGCAAGCTCCTGATCTCGATCATCTTCTTTGTCAACAGCATCATCTGATCGTCGCGTGCAATCTTTTCCTCTATTGCCTCATCTTTCTCGGACTCGTCGTCGTATGCAAAGGCGGTCGCAGCACCACCCACCGCTGCAGTGGCAGTCCCGGCGCGGCTTTGGTTGGGCGACCCTTCAGGTCCTGAGCCTCGTTGACCATTCCCAGAAGCCCCCTCCCGACCTTCGAATATTGTCCGCAGCCATTCTGGCAGCTCTACTCCATCTTTTGCCTTCTGCCAGCCCCTCCTCGTCTGTTCGATAGCCTCGCTAGCACTGCCATAGAGGTTCCCAGCACCGGTTGTGGCCGCATCACTGGCGCGTTTGAAAACATCCACCACGTAACTACCAGCCTGGCCCGCTTGATACTGCAAGTATGACAGGCCAGCTATCATGGCGCCCCCAGCCATAGCGCCCAGCGTCGCAAACTTTGTGACCAGCTTGGGCAGCACACGGACGAACGAGATGGTCCGGACAGCTGGTAGATTGTGAAGCGCATACGCTCCGAGGGGCCATGGCCGCCGCTTGAGGAGCCGCTGGCCGGCCTCGGAGCGTAGTAGACCTCCAGCGGTGGAGCTTGAGTGATGTGCGAGGCGGCGTGGGGGGATGAGGGTGGCTCGGCGGGCTGCAGGCGCGAGACGTGCGGCGAGCAGCCTGCTGCTCATTCTGGGGGTGTGATTATTCGGGCGGGTTGAGCATGAGGTGCGCTTGTTCGCTGCAACGTAGGCGGGCTTGGTAGAGTAGTATGTTTGTGGTCGGCGACAGCTGTTGAGCGATGGCCCTGATGGTCTGCGGAAGGGCCAACATTTGCGGCGACGGCGATGACCGCACGTGGCATCATTCCTGTTGTTTCGGATAATATAGGGAATTTGCCACTAAACGCTAACACCTCCTCACATTTCATGTATAAATCTCGATATGATAACCTGAAAATGTTTATACCGCTATATCTATTAAAATAGTGTCTAATACCTTATCTAAAGTAGTTAACTATATACAACTCTCAGTATCTTAGTCTAAACTAGAAAGCATATTCTCTTAGAGTTCCAGGTGGCGCGTTAGCAAGAACGTACTTTTTAGCATGTTTCTCTTATAGATCTTCCGGTCTTAGAAGGTATAGGCATCAATCAATCGATTAATCAATCGATCAATCAATCAATTATCTATCCATCCATCCATCTATCTATACTACTACTATTTACTACCACAAGTACTACTTATTCCTCATCGTTGCTCCCCTGCACCCAGGTACGTCCAATCCAAAGCTGGCTCGCCGGGTTTGACACCTCGGAAAGTAATGACCTGTTCATCGCCTGGCAGCACGTCAATTGCACTGTCGCTTAAGTGACACCCCTCCCTTTCCTCGAATACCAAGCACTTCGTTGGGCGGTCTGCTGACACATGGTACTTATCGCCCTTAACCTCAACCTTAACGTTCCTGCTGGGAAACGGCAAGTACTTCAATGGCTGCGGCCAGTCGGTGTCTCGGGCCACAAGTTGCCCGTCGACCCAAATCCGGGCTGCGAGCACGTGCGGCTCTTCGCCGAAGTTGTCTATATAGCCTGTTGTGATTTCGGTCGTGCCATTCGCTTTGACCTCGACGCCTTTCTTGATGATCTTGTTTTTGATCTCTTTGCCTGTCTTAACAGAGATGAATCTAAGCTCCACATCTGCCGTGATGGTTTTCATCTCCGAGCTGACTGCCCAGAGCTCCCATTCTTGCGTCTTCGGCTCGCGAGCATGAGTCACGCTCCAATCATGGTGCTTCCGGCGGACGCCAACTGCGACAGGTGCAAGGACCCTTGCAATTGAATAATACGATGGCTTTCTCCTCAAGTAATAATCAACAATCGACCAGCTGGTCGTGGGCCAGCAGTCGTTCAGCTGCCAGACAAGTGCGCCTCCGCAATGTCTGTTGTCTCCCCACTGCTTTCGCCACCCACGGTAGCCGAACATGAGCGCTTCGCACTGAATGAGTTGTGTGAGATGAATGTATGCTTCGATTTCGGTGCATGTCCGGACGTTTTCAACAAGGTACGTTGCTATTCTTCGTTCATGACCATCAGCCTTGTTGTGGAAGTCGAGCACATGGCTCTGCGGATAGAGGTCCTTAGGATCTTCGACAAACGACCTGATGGTCGCAATGTGCGGGAAAGCTTCCATTCCAAATTCTGAATTGAATCTTCCACCCAACGAATCGAAGATCTGGTATTTCTCTTGGGTACCGTGCCAGACGTTCCATTGATGCATATCGCCGACTCTAGGGTCGGAGCTGATCTTGCCATCACCCCATGCTAGATACGGGTTAGCTTTCCTTAAGCAAAGGACGAGTTCTCAGCTTACGTGATCCAGGGTGATAAGGGCTGTCCATCCCGCATGATCAGCTATATTCTTTCAAAGCAACAAAATATAAGCGGCAAAGAAATAATAGGAGTTATTGTCAAAGGGCTAAAAGGCGGTGGTTAAGCCGTGTTTTCAATCCCCTGAGACATCATGATCGATGATGTTTTGTTTTGTTGAGGGGCACTGATTGTCTCGGAAAGTCCAAAAACATTAACACGATGAGATACGAAAGAAGATACGAAAGGGGATACGAAAGGGAATACGAAAGGAGACACTCACATCGAGGCTACCTCCGCAGCAACAACCTTTGGTAGAAGTGATTCATAGATGTATCGAGCTGGGAAATCTGTCTTGAGCCAATTGTCTTCATTCTTGTCTGCATAGTCATATGTCAACCCTTCTGATTCCTGCACCTGGTAGTCTTCGTTGTTGCCGGCAAAGATAGCAATCGACGGGTGGTGACGAAGTCGACGGACGTTGGCAACGGCCTCTGCTTGGATCGATTTGAGGATCTCAGGGAAGCAAGGATAATTGCCACATCCAAACATAAAGTCTTGCCAGACCAAAATGCCGAGCTCGTCACATGCGTCGTAGAAGGCGTCTTCTTCGTAGATGCCGCCACCCCAAACTCTGCAGAGACGTCAGCAGTGAACAATGGTTGTCGGCCGAATGACTCACCGTAGCATCTTCTGGTTTGCAGGGACCATGAGCTCTATCCATGCTCGAAGTTTTTCGGGAGTGACGTTGGTCAAGAAGCTGTCGGTTGGAATCCAGCAAGACCCACCACAGAAAATATCGGTACCGTTTATGCGGAAGTAAAAGCTTTTTCCGTGAGCGTCTGGTTCTTGAACGAGTTCAACCTTGCGCATCCCGATACGCCGTGAGTCTGAATGAAGTTCTTCACCCTCGGAAGATATGACTACTTCTACTTTGTACAGAGCTTGCTGTCCGTAACCTGTAGGCATCCACAATGAAGGCTGGTCAACCTTCAGATCTTCCGATACTTTGCCGTGGGCGGACACTGTAGCATTTGCAGTCGAAACTGTCTTTCCATCCAGGCTGATTGTCATCCTAGCGTGTAGGCTATGCTTTTCATGCCCTTCCACCTCGGCGCTTACGCGGACCGTCGCAGACTTGTAGTCTTTAGCCAAATTCAGGTCTGTCCGTATGTCTGAGATTCTGGCAGAGTAGACTTCAATTCTAATGGGCCGCCAAACCCCTGCGCACATCAAGAGTGGGCCCCAATCCCATCCCCAGTGGTATTGTGCTTTTCTGACTGCAAGTCTTGCGGTGTCTCCGTTGAAGCAGACGAACTTGTGCTCGGGATGTTGTTTCTCGATGTCGCGAGCCTTGAGGAGTGCAGAATCAAATTCGATCTCCAGCTCGTATTCCTTCTCGTCACCAATTGCGTGCGTGATATCCACGCGTTGTGGGAGGAACATGTTGTCGCTCTCGAGGATGGTCTTGCCGTTCAGCCGCACGTGTGCGAATGTGTCTAGTCCGTCGAAAGCCAGGACAGTGGTAGAGCCTGGAGATGCCGCAGGCTTGTGAAATTTCGTACGGTAAGTCCATGACTTTCTACCAACCCATTCTGCTTTGATCTCATTAAAGCCAATGAACGGGTCAGCAAGCCTGCGGCAGTGACCACGTCAGCCTTATCTCCCCAGAAGCGTTGCGGCCATGAAGGAAACGTCGGAAAACTCACTTTTTGTTGTCTATCAAATCTTGATGCACAGTAGACGGCACTTTCTTCACGGGTAGCCAGGCGTCTTTGCTGGAATCGTCGGTCTGCTTGAAAGACCATCCGGAGCTCAATTCCATCGCCGAGAATATTTGAGCCATATTGTGACCTGAGACGTCTCCCATATCCGGCGAACAATAGTTATCAAGGATTTCCTTTGGATCTGTGCAGAACAACTACAAGCGGCCGTTGAGCCGAAGAGAGATGAAGCAAAAAGAAAGACGAAAGGAAGAAGAGTAGAAGCCAAGGTTTTAGCTCGACCGACGTTCGAGACTCGAATACTCTGACCGGAGCAGCCCAATTCAGACGTGGCGTATACCACATGGTGGCTTTTTGTCGATGTGTTGTCTCCGCTGCCATTTCGAGCGCGGAGAGCCACGCCGAGTTTCATTTGCAAAAGTCGAGGTCCTCACGCCGCTCTTGGCGCGATCGTTTTGAATTTCCCCATCTCTCCAGACGGTGATGCCCCACCACGACAGTTCAGCATGACGCAAATTTGAAGAAAGCATAATCGAGCCAGACTGCTTGTGGTACCGGAGAAATCCCCGCATAGATTACAGCGGTGTGGAACGCGACATAATTGGGATCCGCACTCGATGCGGCGAGGATAACCTAGACCGTTATTAATTTGGCACGAAGAACTTGGAGGCTTGACTAGAGTGGCGTATAACCGAGGACTTCCTAGTATGTCCTGTCTAATCTGGAATTTCTTCTCCCGGTGGCTATGGGTCAAAAGAGTTGTGTGAGACATTGAACTTCGTCTGTTAGAGTTCGACTTGCTTGGGAGAGTAGGCTAAACCGCTTCCTCTTCGGACCGCGATTTTTCTGGCACAACCTTCTCGTTTTCGACCGATAAGGATTGAGAAGGGCGCTCATTCGACCACACGTCTCCGCAAAACCGGATCATGGCTGCAGCGAAGGCTAGGGTTTTGATTGGTGGTTGCCACGTTCCCCAGGAAAATGTTACGGTAAATCGTATTCTAGCCTACAGTACCTTAGAGTGGCCATGCATACTAACGGGAGCTTGTTATTGAACATAGCTTGTCGTAGGCAAGGTCTGACACGACTATTTACCTTAACATGTTCCGCACCTGAAAGAGTTAGAGGAATATACTGGCAATCAATTTCCTTCAAGCTCCGCTCTTTAATAGACGCCGTTTTACCGTAGTGGAGCGCCACGCGCAGCGCAACATCGTATCCGCAACCTCTAGTGTTGCCTTCGAGATAGAATGAGCGACAGGCATGGGCAGTAGCAAGGTCTATAATTGATCCTACGCTTAAAATGAGCCAAAAGCAGTACTTAGTGGTAGAAATGTAGCAACTCTAAGATATAGCTGTTAGAGTTCGCTTCGCCATGCTTAAATTCCCGGCTAATTTGTAAATCAAAGTACGTTGTGAAGTTGCAAGGCCTTCTCCCAATGGTTTGGAACCTAAGAGCCAGCTCGAAGTTGCGAGAAACCAAGTAGAAGCTCATCTTCAGACTCTAAAAAGACAGTGACTCCCTCGTCGCTCCTGCTCCTACCAGCATTATTAGGATGCATGTGCCGTTACTTCGACTCCAGTGTGGTAAAGATAGCCGAAGCGTTGGAGCTGATCATCAAGACTGACATTTAACAGGAGTAAACAACTACGATTGGGGTGAGGAAACGGAATTCATTCGAGAGTCGCGTTAACATTGACGCCAAGGAAAAAATGGGAAAGGTTCTGCTGCAGCCAGATATGCTTTTGCAACACCACCAGAAGGCTTCTCGATTCAAGAGGACAAACCTTTTGCTGAGGTCTGTCTTCTAAGCACTGCAGTGGCTTGACCTGACTCTTGCTTGAAGCTCTGGATGGGCACTCATCCTTTTTTACCGCCCAAAGACCTCGAGACAGGACGTTCACTCCTCGACCTCATCTCGGACAATCAAGTACTCGTGAGCATCGAGATCTCCAGAGAGTATAGCGAGAAATTGCCATTTCTTTTCAAAATTCTCTCAATCGGCAAAGCTATGTCAATTCAGGCCCAGAAGCTGGCAGAAGAGCTTTACGCCAAAGATCCAAAAAACTACCCTGATGACAACCAAAAACCCGACATGACGATTGCAATCACTCCTTTCGAAGGTCTCTGCGGCTTTCGACCCCTCAAAGAGATCGCCCATTTCCTGAACACCGTCCCACCGCTGAAAGCATTAGTTGGCGAGGACCACTCAAATGAACTCATCACTACTGCCGAAACGGCCTCCTCCGACGTCAAGACCTCAAGGTCCTCTCTCCGTACCTCTCGCATGAAGCAACCGGAATATGCCGTCGCCCAAATGTCCAAAGAACTGCTGTCTCTCGTTGCCGGCGGGAAAATCACCCCCGGCTCCTCGGTTAACACGGCTGCGACACTCTGCGAACTTTTCCAACGCTGCAATTTCCGATATTTCATTTCTTGCGGACATAAGGCGTGTGGTGGACTCAAGTGGATTCCCACTTAGCAGCTTCATTGATACCTGTACTGTTCCTGGCCTTGCTCATGGTCCTGGGCTGTGACTGATCCCGATCTCATTGTTGCCATCTATCTCTTGAAAGCTCTGCGGCAGTGGCAGTGCAGTGAATAATCCGGCGTCAAAGTAACTATCATAGCCCTGCGGCAAGCCCCACCCATTCAATGCGTGGTAGTCCCAACCAGTGCTTGGTGTTTCGAAAGGGTAGTCGTTGTCGTCCCAGCCAGGACTCCAGTTGAGACTGTCAAACATGTGGTTCATGAAAAGCTCCTGGTTGCCACCAGCGTTGCATAAGTTGGTGTCGACGAAATTGGGTCGTGGGCCTAGGTTCTGCAGAGACAAGCCCGCAGGTTCTACAGCATCTGCTATCTGATTTCCCTGAGCTCCATCCTGGTCACTGTTTAACCGCTTGCTTGCCTCGTAGATGCGACTGACAACCTCGAATGATCGATGACATGTGATGCTCCACCCTCTCATTTCCGTCAACGCGATCAAGGTCAGCTCGACTTGATAACGACTTCCTTCCACAACTGCGGGATCGTGGGGGTCGGAGAATAAACTAAGCAGGGGTACCATCACTGTCTGATAGAGGAGCCAGGTGGCATTCCAGCCACTCATTTGACACGCTTTCTGTCCCCGCCACGTTGAGGCGATGTCGTTGATGAGTTTGTAGGCGATGTCGCGGCAGAGCTCGATAGAAGCTTTCTTTTCTGGAGAAAGGGCGGAGAATTGCATGCGCCGCATTGCGTACCAGAGAAGTACAGGACGGTGAAGGATAATGCGTGATAACAGGTAGCGCCAGCGCATTACTGCTTTCGTGACGGCGATGCCGGGCAGCTCGACGACGTAGGAGCGTGGGGTGTTTGGGTGGACAGAGGATGACTTATACCAGTCAACAAACGAGTTGTCCAAGGCGGCAAGCTCAGCTTCTGGGATGATGGGAGAAACTGCTAAGGCGTCCTCCATGCGTGTGCTAATGATGCAGAAGCGGATGTTGTCTTGAAGCAGGGTAAGCACGGGAGTGGATTGGCCCTGTTTAGTCGGTTAGTGTGGCTTTCGACCGGGACCGGGCAGACGTACAATAGGCTGTTGTGGTGACTTCGCAGTGATGGCGGGGCCCATACGTCCCATACTCGGTCTCCCAAGAGTACTGCCAACCCAAGCATCGAGATTAAACTGACACCACCAAACCCGTCGACGCATCTCAATGGAGGCTGTCAGATCTTGGGGGTTCGCAGGAGTAACCCCGTCAAGGTATTCGCGATGTAAGCCGAGGCAAGTCTGCAGCCATTAGTACTGATATGAAATAATGGAATGGGTAAATTCTTACTGCCATGCGCAGGCTGGCTCCCATAAGGTTGTTGGCCAAGGTCGGCTGCTGAACGTAGTGCAGGTAGAATCCGCCCAGTATAGCCAAAGCCTGGATTACCTCCAGATGCGCCGTACCCAAGCAATCGAGGGTGAGGAACTGCTTGGCTCGATGGTAGTAGATGCGATGACCGACATCCTCCGAGGTGGACGCCGCAACGCTTCCCATGGCCAAGACAGTGTTGAGAAGGAGAAGCCAGCGGTCGTCTGAGCGGCTGCCAGTAATGTATGTGTCTCGAAACGTTTGCTCATCAATCAACGGCACGAAGGTATGAACATAGGTAAAGTAAGCATTGATAAGGGGTATTTCATCCCAGGCTGAAGAGGAAGAACCCTTAGGCTGTGGCTTGTGTTCATGTTCGATCGCTTCTTGTAGTGGGGAACGCTGCCTACTGGCCATTGCACTCCGATCTGGCGTCTTCGCAAAAAAGGACTGTGACTCTGGGTCCAACCATACGATGACACGAAGCACCGCCGTTACTGAAGATATGCCCAGATAGGAAGACGACTTCTTGATAGACAGAGAGAGGGCGTTCACATCGTCAGTAATGCCGGGAACACCACCCGATCTATATTCGCTATTATCGCCGGCCTCCTCGGGCATCGTCTGGAGAGCTTCGAGGCTTCCGGCATCGGGATTGATTGGCGGTTGTCTCTCGTCCAGGCTCGGAGGTATTGGAGAAAGTGGCTCATTAAGCGGACTGTTCTTCGTAATCATCTCAATGAGTTTCTCGTGCGGTAGTCCAGCAAGCATATCTGGATGAACGGATGGAAATAGCTTCTGCAGGATTGCTCGGTACTCTTGAAGCGTAGCAGAGATTTTCTCAACCGAGCTGAGATTGAATTAGCCGCTTTGGTGTGGTGCGTGTTAGTTTTGGAGCTACCGTTTGGATCGCATCTGTCTCTGCCGTGGCTCTGTGTAGTGGCATATTTCTGCTTTCCGATACCATTGACAGGTCTCGCCTGAACAAGGGAGGTCAGTGCAGGTGTGGTCTCCCGCTGCTTGCCATAGAGAGATTTTGTTTTCACATACATGGGTGCTCTCCATTGCATCGAATCTTCCTACTCCGACATGGCTCACATGCTCGTACAATTATAGAACGCCTCTTCCCGGCCGCTCCTGGTACCTCATTTTGCTCAGGATACGAGTCCTTAGCAGCCTCGAAGGTATGGAACATGGCTGAAGACCTTCTTCCGCGCCTTCGCCTCCTGACAAGACGTAGTAATCCTTAGCACTGCACAGGGGAGATGAGGAGCTATTCTGATGCGGCAAGAGACTGAAAGCTCAGCAGAAGTATACTCGCAAGCCGTCCAGCATTTTGAGATTGAGGAACGAACACCGGAAATCTATAGCGCTCAAGGATCATGTGGTGCGAGAAAAGACTTTATGGTAGTGGATATCGGTAAAGCGAGACTTGTGGCAGACCGATCGGCATGGTTCGTGTGATTCGCGGCGCTACCCCACCCGCAGGTTATCTCAGTTAGCGACTCAGACTTTTACAGGGGTGGCCTTGACATTAGCACGAGCCTATAGCGGTGCATGGAGTCACTCCTACCGTCTAAGAGCCACTAGTGCACGGTTATTAGAGACTTAATTTAAGGTAAGAAACTAACACTTCTCTTACATTTCTCTAAATTTTAGAATTTTTTTACGAAAACTTAGGGGACGCTTTATATTAAGTATATAAAGCGTCCTCTAAGTTTTTGTAACAAAATTTTAAGATTTAGAAAAATATAAGGGAAGTATTAGTTTCTTAAACTCATAAGTCGAGCCGCTTTTACTAAGACTATTTATACTAAACTTAAAAACTCTCTCACTATAGAAGTAGTTATTCTAGAGAAAGCTAGAGATATAAGCTTTAATTATTATATATATCTCTATTATCTCCACGATTAAAATTTTTATAGTGAGATTACTTAAAAAGCTAGTAACGTGATTTTTCTTAGCATTTACAAGTTAAACCTTATATAAACTCGCACCACAGGCTCTTAGATAGCAAATAAGATAAAACCTAGAGGGAGGGATTTAATTAGTGGGTAGAGTGAAGCTTAGCTATAGGGCCCTTATCTTATTTGCCGTCTGAGCCGCAAGCTGAGATAACCCGCAGGCTATTTGCCATAGGGCATCTTGGACTTCTTAGTCTCAAACTAACAGGACATTACCTAGACATCTAACGGCTCGTCGCACTATTGTTTTCTATCCAATCTCTATACCGGAGCTTTATTTATTAGCCTTTTATTTCTTCTCTTACGTTATAACTTTTCCCGATAATTTTCTTCCTGCATCTATTGAAGATTGTGAAGAGAGAATTAGTGTTGTCAACAAGTCGGTCGGCGTTAAGTCATTATTTGAATTGAAAGGGCCCGGTACTGGATCTTCAATAACGGCTGTATTGCTGCTAACCGTCTAGAGGGTATTCGGAGCCGCCGAATCGTGGCATCTAAGGTCTTAGTAGGTGTTCTAGATATTTGATTGCGGGAGTCTTAATAATCGCTGCTATGATTAGTTAAGGAAGTTCTCAGCTATCCTAGTATTGAAGACGAGGATAATGACCTACTACTGCCCTCTCTAACCCCTTCGCACCAACCGAGCTTCAAAGATCTACTGCACAAAGGCTGATGAGAGGTGCCTCGCAGGCTGGCTTTATCACCGGCTTGGCAAATAACGAAATACCGGCGTTACTGGATCGTTATTTCCCAATGCGGAACAAATAAGTACTGTAGCTGCTTATTGACAATACTGAGAGAGAATACTCCTAGCCCTATTAACTTCCTCTTGTTTCTCTTTAGCTTTGTTAGAAGAACTTTCTTTACATTAAGGAGATCTCCACGCATAAGTTTATTTCAATGAGCCTGAATCCACTGCAGCACAAGTAACGGCTTTAAATCAGGTTTACCCCGCTCACCGTTCCGCGGCCGAGCGATTATATTTCAGAGTAGGGTCAACCCGTGTTTATCACCTCCTCCTGCCTATGTCTCTCACCTGCACGCTGTATATCTTTGGACGCTGTGTCCTTCGCTTCGCCTCCTAACCTGTGCCTGTCACTTGCATACTCTACTGAAGGTTCTGCACCTCAATCCTTGTGGAGGGTGGTCGGGTGCGAAAGCCTTTACATCCTGCCTGCCTTCGCTATCTTACTATGGCTATTATGTAAGGAAACAAAGATTGTTCACCATGTTTAATGTCGACGCTCGGCCTGGTCCATATGCCTTCCCGTATGCGGTCTTATTGGGGTGTGAGAAAGCCGGAAATGCTAAAATCGACAAATGGTTCTGATTATTGCAAGACTATCGAAGAAGCAATACTATCCCAAACAATCAAAGACGGCCTCCGATACTAGAGCTTGGAGGTGAAAGCCGTGAATGATTTGAGGCAGAGATCAACTGATGTCAAACCGCACCAGGGTCAACAGGAGAAAATAAATTGGTCTGTACGATACGCCATCATACGCTACATTCCCAGCTTACCAAACTCATGCTTCTTCCGAAGCAAAGACAGTTCCTTCTGAATTCAGAGCGACCTTGTGAACCTTGAGAGACGCCTTGACCGGATTTCTCGCTTCAAAGATCGTGTCAAGCTCCTCGAGCGTACGATTCTTCGTCTCAGGCAAGAAGAAATAGAACACCACCCACTGCACCGCGCACCAGATCACAAAGACGATATATGTGCGCCAGCCAATCTGTTTCAGGGAGACAGGCCAAGCAAACTGGTTGAGCAGCCCGCCGGCGTTGACAGCCAAGCTCGAGAAGGCCATTCCCTTCGCACGCATCTCGAATGAGAGAACCTCGACGGGATACAAAGCTTGGAGGGGCGTGATGCCGACGGAGAAGACGGCGCCGAAGATGAAGATCATGGCAACGGTAGCTTTGGCCGCAGAGGTGTTCGTGTTGTTCGACTCGGCGAAGACGCCTGTAGCGGCAGTCATACCGATCCAGACGACGCAGCAGCCTGCCATGCTGAACAGCATCAACGGGCGTCGACCGAGGCGGTCGACGAAGGCGGCGCCGACAAGGGCGAAAACGAACTGGAAGCATGCGTAGCCAAGGTTGATATTGGCTTGGGTGATCGAATCCGTGTAGCCGGCGGTAGTGAGGACGGCAGGGAGGAAATAGGACAGGACACCGTTGCCGGCCCATTGAGCGAAGATAACGAAGCAACAGTTGCAGGCGATGCGATATCGGCTTGCCCTGGTATTGAACAGGGAACGGTAATCCCACCAACGTTTATCCTAGAGTTGATCAGTAAGCGTTTTCATGCGCACTTGTGGACAAACTTTTCTCACTTACCGACCCATTCATGTTTAAGTACTCATCATACTCGGCAAGCTGCAGCTTGACCCAAGCAGATTCAGGGTTTCCGTAGCCATGCCACTTGGTGAGTGTAGCCATTGCCTTCTCCCCTTTACCATTAACGTACAACCACCTCGGGGATTCAGGAATGAGGAAGCAGAACAAGCTGATGAGACCGGGGAAGACCATCTGCAGCCAGGTAGGCAACTGCCATGAGATGTTTCCACTGAGATTGAGACCTCCCCGTACAGCACCACTGGATAGGATGGAACCTATGAACCAGAAGGTGTTGCAGTAGGCAGTAGCCACACCACGAAATGCTGGGTGGCTTGTTTCCACAACGTAGATGGGACCTGCGGATGACACAATACTCACACCGAAGCCAAGCAAGAAGCGTCCGCCCATGAATTGGCCAATGCTAGCATTATTGATTGTGGTCCCGGTGATGATCGTGCCCATCATGATGAGGAAGCTTCCGATGAACATGCCGGCTCTCCGGCCCCAGGTATCGATACATGGACCGACAAAGGGAAGAGCGCAAACACCCCCGATTTGGTACATAGCGGAAACAACGCCAGCCCATATTCCATTGTTGGTGCCATGGAAGAAGCTTAGGAATGTTTTGTTCGCAGTGAGACCGCCGAAAAGCGAACCGTCGAAGCCGTTCATCGTCTGGCAAAAGCAACCAAGAAGGGTGCACGCTACGAGAGTGAGCGTGGTTCGATCCAGCAGATGTAGTGGTTCTTTGATGACAGCTTCATTGAAAGCTTCACTGCCTTTCACGACTTTGACTTTCGCTACATCTGTCTGGAATGTCGAGTCAGCTCAGGGGCTTGTATATGACATCCGTCCACTAGTGTACTGACTGTTATATTATCTCGGTTTTCAACTGTCTCCGCTACCAGCGAAGGCTTCTCCTCGTAGGACTGCCCGTCAGCCGCCATCTTGGTAGGCAATTCGGATGCTTATTCGTAGTCTTTCCAAATGAAGGGGGAAAAGTGATAGATAGGAGAAATGAGAGGAAGGACGGATGGCAAACGAACTGAGCGGGGAGTCAGAGAAATATATATCAGGTCTACCACTATAGATCGCATCTACGTCAGGTCTTTATTGATGTTGACCTGGGCGGAGACGGACAAATTCTGCGTCAGCCAACGACCTACCGGTAAAAGACAACACGAACGACATAGAAATCAAAGCCACTCGAGAGTCTAGGCTAACCCTATTTCGATACGGAAGCTGTGATCAACCCCATGGGGTTGCGGGGACTGCACAAGGATCAGAGCATTGCGGAGGAAGAGGAGGTGAGTCCTCCGCGCTGAAATCGGCTAAGCTTTGATCATCTTCGGGCACGCTGGTCAGCTGACTGCAGCCTCGTTGGTACACGAAGTGATAGCCCGACAGCCCGACAGCCCACCTCAGCAACCTCTCGCCAAGCTTGAGAGTTTCATCGTTATGCTCGAGTAGCTGTGCTATAGCCACCTCTTAAAAGAGCTCTACCCTTACGGCGCTCTTGGTTGTATCTGTAGCAATGGAGTTTTCTCCATCGTAAATCGCGTCACCCAGCCCTTTCCAGCGACCACCGCGTCTTCATTTCTCTGCGCCGCGATGCCTTGATCAAGCGCGAACTTCCTTCAACCTTGGCACTTTGATTGTTGTGCACCGAAATCTACCTGCGCTCACTTCTCTGGTGTCCAGAGTGAACATCACCCCGGATCTAAGATTACAGCGTTTCAGGCGCCAGCACCCGCAACATGTGCAGATTCCTGGTGTGTGCCGGGAGCTTCTATGCGCACGAGATCCCCAGCCAGCCCACCACTAACACTCCCCAGGTCTACAAAGGCAAGGACGAGATCCTGTTGTCCAAACTGATCCTCGATCCTACCCACTCCATTCTGACCCAGTCCTTCGACTCTCGCCTGCGCCTGGACACTCGCCGCCCGCACAACGGCGACGGCTTCGGCGTTGGCTACTACACTTCTCCTTCCCTAGGCCCTGAGCCATGCATCTTTACGTCCACGATCCCGGCTTGGAACTGCATCAATCTAGAGCGGCTTGCGTCCAAGACCACGTCCTCACTCATCTTCGCCCATGTCAGAGCTACGACCGAGGGGAATCTGTCTGATAGCAACTGCCATCCGTTCCGGCACGGCCAGCTGATGTGGATGCACAACGGCGGCATCGGATCATGGAAGCATGTCAAGAGGCGGCTGGCGACGTCTGTAGCGGACGAGTGGTTCAACTTTGTGCAAGGAAGCACCGATAGCGAATGGGCTTTTGCCCTGTTCCTGGATAGCATGGAACGGATGGGCCACTCACCGAACGCGGAACCGGGAGAGAGCGGCTTCGGACACACGGCGCTGCGGAAGGCGATGCTCAAGACGATTGAGCGGATTAATGGATTCATCGCGGAAATTCCGGACCGGTTGAAGACGGAGGAGGACTCCAGAAGCTTGCTCAACTTTGCCGTCACAGACGGGCACAGCGTCGTTTGTACGCGGTATGTGAGCAGCAGGACGGACGAGGCGGCGAGCTTGTTCTTCTCGTCTGGCACCAGCTGGAAGCAGCAGAAGCCGAGCGGACCGTCGGACGATGAGAAAGGGGACTACAAGATGGAGCGGAGAGACAAGGGTGCTGATATCGTCCTCGTCGCCAGCGAGCCGCTGACGTTCGAAAGAGGTGCCTCAACACCCCAGACCTAGCACGTATCCTCACTAACGCCGCCAGACAACTGGGTCACCGTCCCCACTAACTCGACCCTGACAATCCACAAGCAGACCGTCATGATCCACCCCATAATTGACGAGTTCTACAGCTACAACCCCTCTCACTCGCGCTCGTCGCAGTTCGCCAGGACCAAAGGCCAAACCGTAACCGGCGCAGATAAGAAGGTGCTCTCGCAGACCTCAACGCAAGAACCCTCTGGTGCGGCAACGCCGGTTTCTGGGTTCGGTCTTGCCGAGGCGAATGACCCGAGAGAGAAGCTGGAGGTGCTACGCAGCGCTTTGGGCCGAGCGAGGCTTGGTGATGCGTGAGCTGCCAGGTTCCCTTGCGGCTGCGCTGACGGAATGCGGATGTGTTGAGAAGAGGGAGGGAGCATCTTCGAGCGGCTCGAAGAGGCGGGCCCTTGGTAGGTTTCTCTTGCTTCGGAAGGGGCTTCGAAAGGAACCGTAGTGCCTAGCAGTTTCTGTTCGCCACCATGGCTGCTGAGCTCTTTCCCGGGGCACTTGGTAGGATTTTCCACTCGATCATAGGTTTCTTTAGTGGCTGTTTCTAGCCTAAAAAACTTGTGGCCTTCCAAACACCCCCTCTCTCGTGCCACTCTTTTGAGCACATGCTCGCCCGTTGCAACCTCTGGATTACACTCGTTATCCGTGCAATACTATGGCGCCTTATGTTCACCCAGACACGCTCGTACCGCCTCATCGCTTTTCTCTCCAACTCCGAGCCCCCTACTAGTATCGCATGCCCTCTCCTCCCAACCTTTTCCCACCTCGCCCATACGTACCTCCTCACACTCACCACACAGAAAAGCGCCAACAGCCCGAAGCAAGTCATCCAACGGGATCCGGACACATCGGCCATGCACTTGCCGTCCCGTCTCAACCAGGCGAGCGCCGAACTCTGGGCGCTTTAGGAGACAGTTCGAGGCTGTGGCTGCGGTCCACAGATCCTGAAGCGGCTGGAGCGGCGATAGGGCGTCGGTGGATGGAGGAGGGGGACGGAGGTGGCGAGGGAGATGCGGCTGGCCGATAGGGTGCTTAGCTGGAGATGGAGACTACTAGCGATGCGAGCGTTACTGTGTCGAGCAATTATAGTAATAGCTACAGTTAGAATGGGTTCATGTACATCGCGTTCGTATTTAGAGAGGCGAGTTCGAAGCTCGAACGCGATAGCGATAAACTTATTCTAGCTATAGTTAGCACTCTTATCGCTAGGCACGGTAGCGCTCCCATCGCTAATCCTTATCAACGACTCAGCACCTTACTGAGAATATCGATGCTGAGTAGACCGTCGCACCGGTTCGAGGCGAGAACGGAGAGGAGCTAGAGCGTCTCAGGAGCCACATCGGGCGGGAAAATGGGTGCACTTGTTAGATCTCTGTACACTCTCAAGGTAGGGAAGTAGAACGGGCTGCTGCATGCAGCGAGTGCAGATGAAGCTTTGTTACTAGTGAGATAGTCTTAAGAAGCTTCTATGTCCGTGCAATGTAGCGTCTCAGCGAGAGCAGACACCAGGGGTATGCACAGCACCATGAATCCTCGACGCGCGCCCGCCAACCACCACCGAAGACCCGTCCCATCTTGCGGAAGGTATCTATGCACAGCGACCATTCTGCAAGGCCCCTACTCCTCCATCTTCTCTCCTCCCCTCTTCTCCCCAACCCACGCCACAAAGTCATCGATCACGCCCGGCCACGCCCCATTCTCATCCCACCAGCCCAGACTCGCATCCCTGATACACTCCTCCACAAGCTTGAACGTCTGATCCCACAGATCCTTGTTGACCGCCTTCTTGAACCGCGTCTCGAGGAACTCGCACCACCAGTCCAGCCACGGCGCGCTGGGGGTGCTCCACTGCAGCGACGGCGCGGAGAAGAGGAGGCGCCAGTAAACGAGCGCGGCGTCGAGGTCGATGGAGCGCGCGGGCGGGGCGAGAGCGAGAGTGAAGGTGTGCCGGTAGATGCGGCGGAGGAGGTCGCGGTGCTCGGGCGCGGAGAGCTGGGAGCGGCGGGTCGCGATGAGGGTTTTTTGGGCGACAGTGGTGTCGGCGCTGGGGAATGGATCTTGTTAACAAAATTCATATTGCTTTAGATTGAACGAATGAATGGCGATCGAGCTGC